CTTTATTCACAGCAACTGAAAATTAGCAAGAACCAAACGTCCGTGGACAGGGGAAAGGATGGATAGATTGGGTTACACCCATGCAATGCAATATGGAATTCCTGCTCAGCAACAAAAAGAAACGAGCTACTGATGTACGTATGTAACAAAACGATGATCCTCAGAAACACTACGCTGAAGGAAAGAGAGCTAACGCAGAAAAGGACATAGCGCGTGATTCAGTTTCTTTGCAATTGTAGAAGAGGTGAAACTAACGTATAGTGACAGGAAACACATCAGCTTTTGCCCACTCTTAAACGTGGGGAGAACTGACTGCAAAGGGGTATGAGGGGAATTTGGGGATGATAAAAATATTCCACGTCTTGGAAATGGTGATGGTTACATGGGTGTATACATTTGTCAAAACTCATTGACCTGTGCACAGAAACTGAGTGTGTTTTACTGGTATGTAAGTGAACCTCAATAAAATTGATTTTTAAAATCACTCTTGAGATAAGCTTAGAGCATAGCATGGACTCTCAGCCATATAACTTGGTTGCATAAGAATGATAACTCTTGAAAATTTCTGTAAGTCTGATTGATTTTTCTATTTTAAGTCATCTCAAAACTCAAAAGGGCATTGAAAGTACTTTGAAAAATTTCAGACTTGCTTGAGCTAGGAAGCCTTTTTAGAGACTCAGTGTAGCAAATGGAGATCACCAGAGAAATCCATTAGCTCATGGCAAAGTGGCCCCTCAGACCTGAGATCCAGGGCCAGGTCTCCAATGCTGAGAGAGGGGAGAATATCTGTCCCAAAGGGTCATAGGTGCAGAAAATCTGACCCAGGAACAAAACCTTTGCTATAATGGGGGGGATTGATCTTAGAGTTGGGGTGCAGGATCTGAGCTAGCCTGACTTCAGTAATGGCCCAGCACTGAGAACCAGCTTTCTCCTTGTGTCTGAGCCCTCCAGGGCTGTGTTAAAGCTCCTTTACCAAGACTTCTGCATGCCGGGTGGAGGGGGCATTGGCTTAGAGGTCAGATTTGCCTGCAGGGACCAGGCAGGGCTGACAGTATTGCTGTAGGAACCCTGGTTCCTGTCCTGTCTCTGGTCACTTTCTTCCCTCCCCACAGCGGTGGGACAGGACAATCAATTCCTCATGACTGCTTTAGGAAGGAACAGTTAGAATATGGCTGTTTGCCCACCAGCTGTGCTCATGCCTCGACATCGGCCTCGTAGGTCATTGGTTTGCCATCTCCAACCTGCTTTTATGGCTTTTCCTATGTCTTGCCTCGTTTTCCTTTAATCTTCACAAAATAGGGTTCTTAGATTATTGACTTGGCACTCCTGAGTCTGAATTTTCATTTTCAGAAAGTTGAAAGTATATATACGCAGGTAAGTTTTCTTCAAAGGAATACATTCTTACAGAGATGTATAAAATACAGACAAGTAAATAAAAATCAGTTTTAATACTCCACCCTGGAGTACTCACTATTTACATTTTTATGAATTTCCTGCTAGTAGGGACTTAATTTATTTGCTCTTTGGCTTATTTCAGGGAGGATTCAAGGTGGCTTACAATGGACACTTCGTGACAGCAAAGGACTTGCCAATAGTGATTTCCATTATATTGTCTGTGTTTGCTAAGGACCTGAGTCTGGGAAGCACTTAAGAACTATTTTCTGAATGGGTATGTGAATGAAGGTCATTATAAGACCCAGATGTCCCTTTAGACCTGCTGATCTTTTTCTAGAACCCTGTTGATACTTTGGCTGACGGGATGTAGCCCAGAGGTAGGTTTTATTTGGAAGGAGGCAGGTAGTACATTAAGTGACTGATGACTAGCTGGACCAGGGCATCCTGACATATGATGCTACAGGGGTATTTCATTGTCCAAACTATCCCTGGCCCCATGGTCTAATATTTATGGATAATTTATAATGTGCTTGGTACTGTGACAAATTATGTACCTTAACTTAGTTTTTATAATCACTCTATGAAATGGGAGCAATTATGATCTCTAATTTATAAGTGAGGAAACTGAAGATCAGAGAGGTTAAGTAACTTGCTTAAGGCGCCACAGCAGAGTCAGATTTGAACCCGGGCAGTCTGATTCCAGAGCCTGAACTCTTATCCACTGCACCCTGATATATGGTCACCATAATCTACACAGTAATAATAAGCTACATAGGCAATGCACAGAACCATGCTAGACAATACACAGGTCATGACAGTACACAGTCACTGGTCAGGAATTCTCCACTATGAAGTCAAGTGTGTCTGGAAGTTCACTAGCCACTCTGCCTCACCAGGCACAGATAAGATGGTGGGAGTGGCAAACCTTGGCAGGCAAACGTGTGGGCAGGCGGTGTGTGGGGTGAGCGGTAGGGAGTTTGTTGCCCTGTGATACACCTGAGACACACACTCTCCTAACTGATCGCTGATGGCCATTCAAGCTTCTTCTTTTTTTAAGATTTTTTTTTGATGTGGACCATTTTTAAAGCCTTTATTGAATTTGTTACAATACTGCTTCTGTTTTATGTTTTGATTTTTTTGGCCACGAGGCATGTGGAATCTTAGCTCCCCAAACAGGGATCGAACCTGTACCCCCCTACATTGGAAGGTGAAGTCTTAACCACTGGACAGCCAGGGAAGTCCTCATTCAAGCTTCTTAAAATACAGTTTCCAATGATTCTAAGTCACTCTGTTTCAGAAAGGACACCTTTTTCTACTGAATCCTCTTCTGATTCCTGAATTTGTTGAAATGTGATGAGCTTGGATCTCACCTCATAATGTGCAGGGTAGAGGTAAAAGGAGTCACCAAAATGCCTTACTTTTCTTCTCCCTTCCACTCCTGAATAGGTGAACATAGATTTCATGGCCTCAGACAATACCCTCCAAACCACAGACAAATAGGGCATATCAAACAGATGCCAGGGAAATACTCCCACCCACCTCCTGACCCACCTACTAAACTCACCCTAGCAAAATTCCATAGACTAACTCAGGGCAAAACTCCACCCACAAAGCCCATGACACAGCAGCTACGAACTCCCAGGTTCCATTCTTGCGCCATCGATAACCCAATAGCAGGTCAGTATTTAGCTGAATTTTCTACAGAATGTGCAGAAGGCCCGGGGATGTTTCCAGAAGGTTAAACCATTTACATTAGTGACAATGACCATATATCTTATACCATCTACGCTCTCTTTTAGTATGTGCTAAGTACCACAGGCAGTGTTTAGCTGCATCAGCTCAGAGAGAAAGTAGTATGTTCAAGGTTACTGAGCTATTAAATTGCATAGCTGAATTTGGCTCTAGTGGTGCCTGTAATCATGGTGGTATTATAGGAAGGATGTGCAGAAGCCCTGGCCTGGAGAGAGACCACCGGTGGATGTCTCTCAGCCCTGCACAATCACTCTGCTCACCTCAGGAGCGAGATGCTTCTTATCAGACCATCAGGTGATGCCGTGGGTCTTCTTGGTGGATGACAACTGGGATGGTGAACCCCACCTCACACCATGCCTTGCTCTATCTTGAGATCTACCCCCTTATCCTATGTCTCTGGGGATCTCTCAGTTATTCTGAGAAATGGTGTCACTCAAAGAGAAAATGGGGATGTCCCAATGTCCCCAGTACTAATTGTTGAGGACTGAATACGTTTGCTGGTGCTGAATCCCTAAATCCTAGCAGTCTCTGCCCAAAAAACACAAGTTATAGCACAGAGAAACACATCCTTGTCTCGGCCACACAATGGATTTGAGATTGCTCTCACAAAAATATGCAATCAACCAAAAATAATACCAATAAAAAATAATAATGCAGAGCTGCAGGTCCATTGCAGGGCAGAAGCTGTGTTGCTTGGGCCATGGATTTTGCTATGGACTCGAAAAATCTTTGAGTGTTTGTTCATGCCATTCTTTAATATTTTCTCTCTTATCTCTGTATGTATTTTACACATGAGCCTGTGATTGCTTTGGTTCTTACTAGATAAAGTCTTATTCCTCAGCTTGGACACATTTGGGTCATTCTGTTTTATACAGAGCTTATCCAGAGTGGTTAATTTTGTGCAGAGTATAGAGCTTTCTCCAATTTGTTTTTTAGCAACGATAAAGAAAATGCTGTCATGTTCCTCACCATCGTCATCGGCACCAACTTAACTCCCTGTCATGCTCTACTCATTCCGTATGTGTGGACAGCCTGAGAAAATCAAGGTATCCCTGAGGCATTGGTGTGTACAGACAATTATTAATTAATCATGTTTTGCTCTGCTAGAGCCTTGATTGATTAATTGAAACAAAGAGTTTCTTGCTGAAGAATGAATACTATGAATGGTTTAATCAAGTCAGAATCCATGAGAGCCCGAGACATACATCTAAGGTTGGTCTGTATTCAGTTGCTCATTTCAACCAGGGATCACACTGAAATTTCAGTGAATGATAAATGACTTATTCCGGGAAACTCTCATGGACAGTAAATTGGCTCCAATTTTTGTAGAGTGTTTCTCCTCTGGGAAGTTTGCAAGCACATTCTGTGTGCTCAGTATTTTAGAAGAGGATGGTTTTTGATTACTTTATACACTTTATATTTGTATTTGATACTTTATACACTTTATATTAAATAGCTCAGCCTTATCTACTTTATATTTAATAGCTCAGTTCTTATCTACAGCCAACATTGTTCTTTTTTAGTTCTATTTTATTTATTATTTATTTTAACATCTTTATTGGAGTATAATTGCTTTACAATGGTGTGTTAGTTTCTGCTGTATAACAAAGTGAATCAGCTGTATAACGAAGTGTGCGTATATATACATCCCCATATCCCCTCCCTCTTGCGTCTCCCTCCCACTCTCCCTATCCCATCCCTCCAGGTGGTCACAAAGTACTGAGCTGACATTGTTAAGATATCATTTTGCTTCCAACAGCCATGCTGTTGCACTGACGCATTGACAAGGCGACGCACAAGCAGAAGTAAATTAGCTATCAAGAGTAAAACAAAAGATTAAATTCATTCCTTACCGGAGACAGTATATTATCAGCATTTTCTTGATTTAACGTATTTTTCTGGGTCTTCAGCCTACAAATTAAAAAGAAATGAACATACAGTAACATAGCTGTCTGGCATCATGAAATGAGTTATATCATTAGCAATAATACATTATTTTTTTCCTAATTACAAGAACAAACTATAAACATTTTTTAAATGTGGAAAATGCAGACAAGAATATAAAAATAAAAATCATCCATAATACTGTACTATAGTCCTAGCAACTGAGGCACGTCTTTAACCATCCAAATATAAATTGTGTCAGTCTTTTGTTCCTATGTAGGCTACATATAGGCATAACTGTGCATGTAATTTACACAAGTAAAGATTTACTGTGTGGTCTGTTTTATAAGATACTTTGTGATTTAATAAATCATAATTATTTTTTTTGCCATTCAATGTTTTCCCTACCTTAAACATGTTAAGGAATACATACAATTCTATCTTTGGAGCTCTCCTAACTTATTTCATCAATAACAAACTGTTAAATATTTGGATTGGTTTCAACTTTAGATCATTTTTAATTATAGAATTAAAATTAGTCACTGAACCGCACCCTGGTATATTTCTATACACAAACCTTATTATTTCTTTAGATAACATGTTTACAGGTAGAATTGCTGTGTTAAAGAGGAAGTCCATTTTAAGTCTTAATACATTTTGCAAAATTTCTTTCCAAAAGACTATACTGATTTACACTCAAACTAACAGTGCCGTTTCCTCAAGCCCTCTCCAAAGTGAGTTATATAATTTACTATGCTTTTCCCGGAAAATTGTAAAATATTATTGTATCTTAATAGTAGTTTGATTTCTACTTTTTGTTACTAGGGTTATTAATTGTACTTCTAATGTGTATTCCCTTTGCGTTTAGACATTTTTGGAGGGAGTCTTCCTGAAAAATATTATATACGTATTATTTACCTTTTTCTGCATGACAAATTACCACACATCAGTGACTTAAAGCTACATGCATGTTTTTTTTTTTAAAGTCACTGTTTCTGAGGGTCAGGAGTATGGTATGGCTTGGCTGGATCCTCCACATCAGAGGATCTCAAAGGCTGTAGTAAAGGTGTCAGCCAGGGCAGAGGTCTCCTTTGATGGCTCAACTGGGAAAGAATCTGCCGCCAACCCATTTATGTGGTTTTTGACAGGATCCAATTCCATTCAGGCTGTTGGACTAAGGGTCTCAGTTTCTAGCTGACTATTAACCAGAGACTCTACCCCCAGATTTTTGTCATGTGGGCCCTCTGCACTTGGCAACTCGCTTTATCAAAGTCAGTAAGGGGCAGAGTCTGCAAGCAAGACAGAAGTTTGACTAATCACAAAGTGGCATCCTCTCAACATGGAGTTATCCTATTGGCTGGAAGAAAGTTATTCTGGGGGAAGAGTCTGCTTAAGCCCACGAATATCAGAGGTGGGGGTCATCAAGGGTCATCACAGAAGTGACCTACCACAACACACTACCCTGCTTTCTTGGAGGTCTACATAAAAACGGAACTGACCTTTAGCTGATGACCCACACCTCTATGTCTCAGCTTCCTAATACGCGAAGTAGGGATAAAAATATTAGTCAACTCATGGAGTTGTTGTGAAGATTAAATGAAATAATTCAACAAAATGCTTAGAACAATCTCTGGCACATAGCAAGTACTACTTCAGTGTTTGCAGTTATTTTCATCTCCTTCTTCACCTTTATCACCATCACCATCACATCATTACATTATCATCATTACCATCATCACCATCATCACCATCACCACCATCATCACCATCATCACCACCATCACCATCATCACTGTCACCATCACCATCACCATCACCACCATCACCATCACCACCACCACCATCACCATCATCACCATCACCACCATCACCACCACCACCATCATCACCATCACCATCACCGTCATCCTCAGTGTGTTACAATGCCCTCAAGGACAAAACTTTTCGTAGGGTTGTTAACTTCCTCAGAAATACCTGTTGAATGTATGAAATAATGAGTGAATAAATGGATGAAAACAGAAGTCATTACCATCTGGGATTATTTGGTCAGTCCAATGTTTGCATTTTCTAGTTTTTCAAGGTCTTTTCTGCCTTTTCATCATTTGTCCACTGTCATCTCTCGATAGTCAATTTTCTCTCCCCTATTAGTAATTTCCCTTTCCTCTCTGGGAGACCGTCACCTGACTAACTAAAAGACAAACTCTCAAAACTCAGTTATGCATTAATTACAAGGAATTAATTAATTCGGAATGTTTTCTGAACAAGAAATGAACTTTTCTTGTTTCCTGTTGCTTAGACTCTTCAGAGCAACTTCCTTCTTTCTCCTCCTTCTTCTGCTCTCAGGGGTATCCATGCCACTATTCCCAAGGTCTAAACTATCCTTGTTTCTTTGGAGGAATTGTGTGTGTGTGTGTGTGTGTGCGCGTGTGCGTTTTAGTACTTTATAAAAGAAGTTGCCAAGAGCCTTCACAAATAATACCTAAAGGGCCTTTTAGTGGCAACTTCATAATATCCACATAAGGGCAGTTTAAGGGGTGAGTAAATCTTGATGGAAAGGGGAATAAGATTTTGTCCTGAAGCTGACTTTATCTAGGAAGTACGTTATTTAGTACATATTTATTAAATATGTATATTTATATGCATTGGCCTTGTTGAGAAGGCTGATGGAAATTATGGAGAGGCTAAAGGCCCCTCCATTCTATGTCTTGGTGTCTCCATTTTACAGGCACAAACTTACAGTCACAAAGGATATGTGACAAGACCAAGATCACACCATTAGGTTGAGGCCTTGGGGTTTGAAGCAGATCTTCTGCTGTAAAACTCAGGATGCTTTCCAGGAAATAACATCTGAATGCCTCTGGGATAGACACTGAGATAGCAGAAAGAGAAGATTCATCATCTCTAAGGTCTTGTTACTTTATTCTAACTATATCCAGTAAGGATTTTTACATTCAAGAATTCTCAATTTTTCTGTCATAGAAAGAATCACTAGGGACTTCCCTGGTGGCGCAGTGGATATGACTCTGTGCTCCCAATGCAGGGGGCCCAGGTTTGTTCCTTGGTCAGGAAACTAGATCCCACATTCATGCTGCAACTAAGAGTTCGCATGCCGCAACTAAGGAGCCCACATGCTGTAACCCAGGAGCCGGAGAGCCACAAATGAGGAGCCTGCCTGCCACAACTAAGACCCGGTGCAACCAAGTAAATAAATAAATGTTTTTTTTAAAAAGAGAAAGAATTGCTATTTAGGAACCCCAAGTTTGGGCTTCCCTGGTGGCGCAGTGGTTAAGAATCTGCCTGCCAATGCAGAGGACACGGGTTTGAGCCCTGGTCCGGGAAGATCCCACATGACGCGGAGCAACTAAGCCCGTGTGCTACAACTACTGAGACTGCGAGCCACAATTACCGAGCCCACACGTCACAACTACTGAAGCCTGCGCACCTAGAGCCCTTGCTTCACAACAAGAGAAGCCACCGCGATGAGAAGCCCGCACACTGCAACGAAGAGTAGCCCCCGCTGGCCGCAACTAGAGAAAGCCCGCGCGCAGCAACAAAGACCCAACGCAGCCAAAAATAAATAAATAAATAAATTAAAAAAAATACTATTAAAGAACCCCAGGTTTTAGGTTTGATGTGAATTGGTTCTGCAGCAAAAAATAATCTGCCTAATATCAAATTTTCCCTCTTCCTTATTAACTCCTTTTTCAATGACTGCTTTTGTTTATTGTTGTTGCTGTTGCTGTGTATGTGTGTTTAAGGCACCAAAAGCATTCAGCTAAAAGACGACATTTCTCAGCCCAAGTTGAACGACAAATGGTCATATCACTGTTGTGACCAGGGAGGTGTTCCTGGCTGGGAATTTGAGAAAGGCTCCTTTAGGGGTGACAGAGTTTGAGTAGTGCCCTTTTTGCTCTTCCATCTTCCAGCTGTTTGCTGCCTGCCAGGTGGATGAAATGCTGCAGCCCCTGCTGGGGCTCATGAGGGGACCATGAAAATGGAAGCTGCAAACAGCCTGGACTTTTAAGGAACATGGGACCATCATATCAGCCTAGACTGCCCACCTTGGATTTATTTTCTTTTGTTTTTGGAGTTAGTCTATGTGGGACAAAATATGTCCTTATATGTTTAAGCCACTGTTAATGGGGGTTTTGTCTTATAGGCAGGCAAATCCTAACTAATAGATTATGTGATCTTGATAGTAAATTCACATTTCTATCCCTAAGTTTTCATATCTGTAAGACGGTGGGGAGAGAAATTTGGCATTATGATTAGGTGGTTTTAAGTGTTCGTCTAGTCCATTATTTAATGGTTCTAATTAGGTTTCCGGTATCCTACTATTCCAAAGTTTCAGAAGATTGACTCTAAGCCTTTCATTAACCCCCAAAAGGTCCAAGTTTCAGTATGAGTCAAACTGAAAAAAAAAAAAAAAAAAAAAAAAAACACGAGAAGAGATCTACTCCTTTAAAGAATTATTTTGTTAGGTGTATTTTCATATATGTGTGTGTACGTGTCTGTGTCCTTTTATAATATATCTTTCTGAACAAATGTAATTCTCAGCAAAATAAAACCTCATTCAATTCAATTCACACAATTCAAACTGTGTGATAATTCGGAAAGATGCTGGACCAAAGATTACTTCAATTTTTTTCATGAGGAAAAAAAAAAAGGATTTCCCAAATAAATGAACACTGTAAATAAGGCAATTTATCTCTGCTTAGGAGAACAAATTGTTCTCAGTTAACATAGAAAATCTCTTTACATAAAAATTAATTTAATAATTAGAAATCATTCTTACCTAGCTCATTAAATTTTTGTTTAAGAAATGCGGAGATTTCTCTGTCGCTTACGACCAGAAATGCGGAGATTTCTCTGTCGCTTACCACCAGACTCTTGGTTGTCTGTGATTCTGGGCATCTCCCTCGAGAGTGGGAAACAAATTTCCAACTTACCTGGAAAGTGCCACACAGATGTGGGTTATTTTTTGCTGTAAACTCTATAAGCTAAACAGATCTCATTCAATAGAGGCT